CCTTTCTCTCCCCAGCAGGGCTCCTATTCAGATAATGATGCTCTGAGATAATGAGGGGAATTACAGTCTACACACTATGCTTTAGAAAACAGTTAAAGGAGGCCACCTGTTTCTGCTGTCAAAGGAGAAGATCCATTTGCATTGGATGAAAGATTTCTACATCAGAGACCATAAATCTGCTGTGGGAAAGTGCAATGGGCCTCAGAAAATGTTACAGCCTCATATAATGAAATAAAATAATAAAATAACTCTGTAAGCTAAATAAGATATACCATAAATAAGCCTACATGAAACATAGTCCTACATCCAAGAATTTGAAATGTTCACACCATAAAACTAGGAACTACTATTTCCTCCAAAAGCAATTTTCTGTAAAAGCCTAATAAATTAAAGGAGCATGTTCTAATAATAACCACTAAGGCTGAATTATTCAAATAAATGCTTTTTTTGTAATTTAGCTCAATATACTGGTAGGCCTAGTGGATATATTTTTGTTACTGTTGTACCTCTTGGAGGAGATAAACACTTAAACATCCAGTCAATAATGGATTGGATTTACATAGTGGTTTTTCACCAGGTGCTGGTAGGGCTTTACATTGCATGCAGCAGAAACTCCCCCCATCCATCACCAATGTGTAGCACCCACCTGGGTAATGCCATGGCAGACATTTTACGCCAGAGCTCATCACACATCAGTTGGAGTGAGAGAGAGAAATACAATAGCTTGTCAAAGTGAAAAAGGTAAAGGGTATGTAGCTGTGACCTGAGTGGAAGGATGATGCATTCAGCAGAACACGTAGCTACCCTCTGTGCCCCGCTGACCCTAGGGTCACTATTACACAGGACTGGATTACATTTGCCAGCTGGTGCCTCGCTCCATCCATCCTCTCTTCAGGGCATCTGAGGGAAGAGAGGGAAAGAGAGAGGAGGGGCAGATACAGTGGAAAGATAACAGTACAGCGTCCGTGTTCAGTATTGTGTCAATGCAGGCAGGATGGTTGGTATGGGTTAGTGTTAGTGTGATTCCTCTATGGAGTGGATTCATTCTCTGGGATTAGATAGAGTAGATTCTGCCTCTGGGGATTAGTGGACATGTCAGCTCTGCCACCAATCGGACATCAAGAACTGGATTTATATTCCAGATTATCGGAGCGTGTGGGTCTCACACAGGCTCTCTTAGCAATGGTTACCAGAGTGTTCTATCAATTTCACTCTTCACACTTTTGCACTGAATATTATTACTCACTGTAATAGTCAAATGTATGTGCTATGAACAAAAACAAAAGGAAACATCTTATTGCATACATTTATTACCTTTGTAATAACACTTCAATGTTTTGAACAAACTTTTTTGCTCATTTGATAACTCCTCCAAAACACAACTTTTATCTGTACTATATTTACAGATATAACATCATAGCTAAAACAATGTCCCTCTCAATAATCGTATCAACAAAAGCCACAGGCAAAAGGCAATGTTCCTCTTTAAATTCTTCGGTATAACCTTTTTTGGAACTGTACCTTTCTCTCACACAAAACTGGAGATATACTGCTAACAACAAGCATGGCTGCACAGGATACAAAAGCGAGGCAAAACATACATAAATTCCTTAGTGGTTTACATTCATTATAAATGTTGTACCATTTGATCTAACTCAGTATAAAGTAGACCCCTTCAAATGTATCCCTCTGGGAATAACAAGGACTAAACACAAACATTTAAGACATAATAAGTGTAGGGACAGGGAGGCTGGTGGTAAACTTTGATTGCAAATGACTCCCTTCATTAAACCAGATAAAAGGCATCAATAATTAATAGGATAAATAATAGGATCCCCTGTAGCTCAGTTGGTAGAGCATGGCGCTTGCAATGCCAGGGTTGTGGGTTCGTTTCCCACGGGGGGCCAGTATGAAAAATGTATGCACTCACTAACTGTAAATTGCTCTGGATAAGAGCGTCTGCTAAATGACTAAAATGTAAAAAATTAATTTTCACTGTAACAACATTCATTTCACAGACAACATCTCTATTACCCTCCAAGCACACAATGACCGCAGGCCTAACTTTACAGAAGCAAAAACAAACATTGTCTGGTCTGCAGGGTAGGTACATGCCTCAACATAACTGCACTGACATAATCAATGCTGAACAGCTTCAATATAGTACCATGATAAAGGGTTGAACATAACCCATACCTTTTGTGGAATAACAAATCCCTTTTAATATCCGATCTCTAAGATAAAAAAAGAATGATGACAACACTACTGGTCAGAAATGACAACCATGTCAGGATATCTTATTGATCCAACATGGACATTGAGAATGGCTCAAATCAGTTAGGAAAGTGGTATAGCGTAAACACATGATGCAACAGATCTTCATGAGAGAAAGCATGCAAAAAGAAAAACAAGTGACTTCTCTCTGTGCGTGATTACAGAATGGTCGATGCTAAGACTTCTGCTGTCAGTGATATTGCTGTTGTGTGGAAACAAAGTTTTGGCATGTAAGTTGCTTTGAAATGTTCTCACTATTCTCTCTATATCTACTTCAACATTCTGTAATTTAGCTTTTCATTTTGGGCTCTACATACAGTTCACTGCATTGTCCGTCAAATACTGTACCATCTACCAACAAACATTCTGCAAATGAAGAGTTTGTACTTCAAACTAACAGTCTATGTGATAGAATGCACGAAGACTATCAACTTCCAGGCTTAATATGGGGGTTCAATCTAAAATAGTTACAGCAAAAACATTCCAGAGTCAGACAAAATTAATAAAAGGGTATGAGAATACTGTTTTACATAATACAGAGATCAGAGTGACTCCATCCTTTGATGATAAGCAGCACCACTGCACACATAATCATGTTACTTCAAATATAGCTTTACAAGAATCCCAGATATCTGATTGCACAACTGATACTGAAAATGGTATATTTCCACTATTCTTAATTTAAGGTAGAATACATGTTATGAGGAAACAATCTTGGTAAACGTAGAAATGTGTCTAGGCTAGGGGCTGTCATATGAAATAAAGTTGAGTTTACACCTATGGTGTGAGGTACCTCCTAGGTGAGAGGTAGTGTCAGTCCAAATAGCAATATTCTAATAGAAACAATTCCCTGCTGAGCAACTTAGAGAGAGAAGTAAAGGCATTCTATACTGTAGTAGTGAGGAGGCATTCTACATTGTAGTAGGTTTGTTTCTCTGTCCGCAGCTCTAAAAGCGGTTAAAGTGTAAGGAAAGATAAAAGCACACAGTCTGGAAATAATTACAGGTCTCCTGAATAGATAGAGGAACACATAGTGGGATTCAACACATAGAAAAGAGACCACAGAAAGGCTAACTGACAAAGACCATTGACGTGACTACAGGAGACATAATGACAATGACTAAGAAAACCACAGGAGGCCAGCAAACAGTATCAGAGAGAAGGGCCTACTGTTTTGACAGACTGCTCTCTTTCTCTGCTGCAGTCTCATGGCACAGCCTGACGGCTCCAAAGATGATTGGGTAAAGGTAATTATCAAAGAGACTAATAATAAACTAATTAGAAACCACAGATACTCATTCATGAATGTATAAAGTAATGAAAACATTACAAAAAATACATGGAACTGATTATTACCCCAAAAAGATACAAAATAAATCATACTGCGAATAAACAATAATATTTTACTAAATACATACATTACTGGTCAAAAGTTTTGGACCACCTACTCATTCATAAGGGTTTTTCTTTATTTTTACTATTTTCTACATTGTAGAAAAATTGTGAAGACATCAATACTATGAAATAACACATATGGAATCATGTAGTAACCACAAAAGTGTTACACAAATCAAAATATATTTCATATTTCAGATTCTTCAAATAGCCACCCTTTGCCTTAATGACAGCTTTGCACACTCCTAGCATTCTCTCAACCAGCTTCATGAGGAAGTTACCTGGAATGCATTTAAATTAACAGGTGTGCCTTCTTAAAAGTTAATCTGTGGAATTTCTTTCCTTCTTAATGCGTTTGAGCCAATCAGTTGTGTTGTGACAAGGTAGGGGTGGTATACAGAAGATAGCCCTCATTTGTAAAAGACCAAGTCCATATTATGGCAAGAACAGCTCAAATAAGCAAAGAGAAACAACAGTCCATCATTACTTTAAGACATGAAGGTCAGTCAATATGGAACATTTCAAGAACTTTGAAAGTTTCTTCAAGTGCAGTCGCAAAAACCATCAAGCGCTATGATGAAACTGGTTCTCATGAGGACTGCCACAGGAATGGAAGACCCAGAGTTACCTCTGCTGCAGAGGATAAGTTCATTAGAGTTACCAGCCTCAGAAATTGCAGCCCAAATAAATGCTTCACAGAGTTCAAGTAACAGACACATCTCAACATCAACTGTTCAGAGGAGACTGTGTGAATCAGGCCTTCATGGTCGAATTGCTGCAAAGAAACCACTACTAAAGGACACCAATAAGAAGAAGAGACTTGCTTGGGCCAAGAAACACGAGCAATGGACATTAGACCGGTAGAAATGTGTGCTTTGGTCTAGAGTCCCATTTTGAGATTTTTGGTTCCAACCGCCGTGTCTTTGTGAGAGTGCTGCATCAGATGACCTGGCCTCCACAATCCCCCGACCTCAACCAAATTGAGATGGTTTGGGATGAGTCAGACTGCAGAGTGAAGGAAAAGCAGCCAACAAGTGCTCAGCATATATGGGAACTCCTTCAAGACTGTTGGAAAAGCATTCCAGGTGAAACTTGTTGAGAGAATGGCAAGAGTGTGCAAAGCTGTCATCAAGGCAAAGGGTGGCTATTTGAAGAATCTCAAATATAAAATATATTTTGATTTGTTTAACACTTTTTTGGTTACTACATGATTCCATATGTGTTATTTCATAGTTCTGATGTCTTCACTCTTATTCTACAATATAGAAAATAGTAAAAATAATGAAAAACCCTTGAATGAGTAGGTGTTCTACAACTTTTGACCGGTAGTGTATGACATACAGACAGACTGCATCCCAACTGCAGCAGCTGCTGGTGGATACAACACTGACCTTCGTGGAATGTCAATCAATCAAAACAATGAGGGGTCAAAGGTCATTGCTCTAGGTTCTGCGTTTAGTCAATGATCTCACTTTGACCTTTGAACTTAATTTCTCCATCTCAATAAGTGCGTACATTTGGCTTGGTACAAATACATCTGTGCTTTGAGTTAATACAAAATGCATAGGTATTCCAATGAGGAATCAGGCTTTCACAGGCAAAAGTCTAGTATTGTTAAAGTGCATGTCATTGATACAACAGCATACTACGAATGCAGATGGTATCAATGTAATTATTTTGTACTAATCATTTGGCCTGTTCCCTTTAACAAAAATGGACAACTACTGGGCAGTACCTGTCCTTCATAACTAGTAAAATACCCTTCATGCGTAGATTACTCCACAGAAACATCTAAGCACTATGTGGAGTGAACACTGGACTTTCTATACCAATGAGATGTCTCTTCTCTTTTTTGGCACTTCTGGTTAAACTATGGCTTTTTGTTATGGCCTTTAAAAAAAATAGTTGAATAGTCATTGGTCAGACCCAGAGAGGCTGTAGACTGGCCTACAGAAGCCCAAAGAGAGGCACTGAAGACTGGTTCTCTGTTGTGTTAGGTCCTGGTGGAGTGGAGCTCTACCACCGGCCACTGACACTGGCCATGTCAGCGTGGAACTGACGAGACAGACGACCGCTGGCTCCCCCTTCCAGGAAGGAGGACCTGATAGGAGCCTCAAACAGCTTCCTTCGGTTCTTGTTCAGTTCTGAAAAAGACAAAAGAACACAATACTGCATATCAATTGCAATTCTTACAGATATAAATGTTCAATAACATACTATGTTTTTCCACTCCGACAAGTCAATTCAAACTGTAATCCATATAAAGGGAAATTACTGTTTATTGGTGTTCCGATACAGTCAAGACTTAAATCAACAATGGCAGGAAAATGTGCTTCAAATAGCCAATGAAGAATGAGAACAGCTCATATCAACAAGATCCCTCTTTGTGACCCATGGGTTTGCCAGGCAGATCACCAAACTAATTGGACACAATTATTTCAAAATGTGTCAATAAAACGGTCCAGCATCTCTTATTCATTTGATGGCTGAATCATCATCCTCTGTCAGCAAAAACCTGACATATGATAATTGAGACTGGTAGCTCCAAAGTTGCTATTTTTACTGGCAGAAATACAGGAAGTGGACCTTAATGAGTTGGGGTTGCCTTTAGGAAAGAAAGAAGGGGGAAATGGATTGTATTCCTCTTTTGGAGCCCTCAGAGTCCTTCAACAGAGATTAGAGCTGATCTGAGCTTTGCAACAGAGCGCATCAGTGGAACTAACTCTCGCCTTGAGCCCTTCTCCTCACAACAGAACACAGATTAACTCCCTCTCCCAACCTCAATGTGACCCCCTACTGCACCAATAACACAGACTCCAAAAATAAGCAGCAAAACTATGACTTAAATATGATCCCTTCTAGATATGATCCCTTCACTCTAACAATACCACAAAAGCGTGAAATCATCATACATGAGATGAAGGACAAAACATGTTATAAATGTAACATCCCAGAAACTGAAGGAATACATATACACTGAGTGTACAAAACATTAGGAATACCTTCCTAATATTGAGTTGCACCCCCTTTTGCCCTCGGAACAGACTCAATTCGTCGGGGCATGGACTCCACAAGGTGTTGAAAGCATTCCACCGGGATGCTGGCCCATGTTGACTCCAATGCTTCCGAAAATTATGTCAAGTTGGCTGGATGTCCTTTGGGTGGTGGACCATTCTTGATACACACAGGAAACTGTTGAGCGTGAAAAACCCAGCAGCGTTGCAGTTATTGACACAAACCGGTGCGCCTGGCACCTACTACCATACCCCGTAAAAGGTACTTAAATATTTTGTCTTGCCCATTCACCCTCTGAATGGCACACATACACAATCCATGTCTCAATTGTCTCGAGGCTTAAAAATCCTTCTTTAACCTGTCTCCTCCCCTTCATCTACACTGATTGAAGTGGATTTAACAAGTGACGTCAATAAGTGATTATAGCTTTCACCTGATTCACCTGGTCAGTCTATAATGGAAAGAGCATGTTTTGTACATTCGGAGGGTATTCAGACTTTTTCCACATTTTGTTACATTACAGCCTTATTCTAAAATGGATTAAATTACATTTTTTCCTCATCAATCTACACACAATATCCCACAATGACAAAGCAAAAACAGGTTTTTAGAAATGTTTGCACACTTATTTACATAAGTATTCAGACCCTTTGCTATGAGACCATGAGAAAAAAGATTCTCTGGTCTGATGAAACCAAGATTGAAGTCTTTCGCCTGAATGCCAAGCTTCACTTCTGGAGGAAACTTTGCACCATCCCTATGGTGAAGCATGGTGGAGGCAGCATCATGCTGTGCAGCAACGCTCCCCATCCAATCTGACAGAGCTTGAGAGGATCTGCAGAGAAGAATGGGAAAAACTCCCGAAATACAGGTGTGCCAAGCTTGTAGCGTCATACCAAAGAAGACTCGAGGCTGTAATCGCTGCCAAAGGTGCTTCAACAAAGTACTGAGTAAAGGGTGTGAATATTAATGTATTTCTGTTTGCAAAAATGTCTAAAAACCTGTTTTTGCTTTGTCATTATGGGGTATTGTGTGTAGATTGATGAGGGAAAAAAAACGATTTAATCCATTTTAAAATAAGGCTGTAACAAAATGTGGGAAAAGTCAAGGGGTCTGAATAATTTCCGAATGCAATGAATCAAAATGCCACCTGACTGAATCATGTTCTCTCCTGGCAGAGAAAAGGTATTACTCCGGTAGTCATGCATTTATAAACAAGGATTAGTTCATGTCACAAGAAACATGTGGGGCATTCATTGCCTTGGAACAGTATGAGAGGATCCGAGCTTCTCTATGTCAGACAAAAAGAGGAACACGACTTGCACCACTGACTACTGAAACCAATGGATGGCAGTAGATATTGTAATTAATGTTCAGCTATGGGTCAGTGGAAGTACGTGGCTATACTCAGGCATATGGCAGGGCCAGAAATGAGAGGTTTAATGAAAAGCATAGAAGACCATTTCACACAGCCTCCATCAGGAGAGGTTCTGGCACGCCCGACAGCCACCTCAACACTTCTGACAGACATCTGAGCTATTATCAGCACATACAGCCCAGCAGGATCTCCCACATGTCATTGGAACTGGGTTCACACAAACACACAAGTACACACAATGTTTGGACATTACCATAGTCATTCACACCGGAGATGGCAAGCAGCATTTTTCTGCGTGCTCCAAATGTGGTGATGCCCAGCTCTTTCAGGTCCTGGTCTGTAAGAGTGAGGAAGGTCTGGAGATCGATCTGAAAATAGTGCATGTGTACAGTCAATATCTTTATCATGTCACTGCACACTATACAATTTTTGGGATAACAAAATAAATTCCCCCTTTGCAACATAAAATACCTGGGGCCTCATTTATAAACTGTGCGTACGTACAAAATATAGCCCAAAATGTTGGTGTGCCAGTTCACACACAAGTTGCCATTTATAAAAAATTTACTTGACGTGAATATGTGCTCACCTCCCTGCAAACTTAAGACCATGTGTACACACATCTGTAAGTAGTTGAAATATTGTATTGCAAGCTGGGGTGATATGATGACAAGCTTATTCATAAAAAAAAACTAAAAACAGGAAAACATTAACAAAAATGCAGCCATTTGCCATTAGTGAGAAGAGCGAAAATCAATGTTTTATTTTTAGAATCTAAAACAATTAGACATAGGAATCTATCTATTCCTCAACCTTTCTGGCCGTGATTGGTTCATATTCCTGAAGTAGCCATACAACAAATTACAACGCGCATATCTAATTTCCTAGGACCTAGTAGCCAAGTAAATAGATGGGCATTATGTATTTCAAGTTTTGAAATCCCATAGGCAGCGCGGTTTATAATATGCAGTCGAATTTAACAGGTGAACAGTTGATCATTTACATTGAAGTAGGCCTATTTATGCTACTGTTAGTACTGTAATTACATTTTGGGACATTCATGTAATCTCTTTTTTGGAAAGGAGCTTCAAGCTTATCACCTTGCACATTCACCACCCTGTGAAGTTCATCATAACTTATTTCATCTGTAGCCTAATAAACTACATGCTTTCCCGAGTCGTAATGGGAGGACCACACAACATATAATTGCGTGACTACATCGATATGATGGTTATTATATCAATATTTGTGCATAAAGGTGTTTCCACAGTCATTTCCCGCATAATTAAACTTAACCAACACAAAAAGATCCCACCATGTCGAACGAACAAATTGTCTGTCGGCATTTATAAAATTGTATCGGCATTTCATGTTTCCATCAGCTCGGTCGTGACTTTTTTTCATGTGTCAGGTAATTCATTAGCATGAAATAGTTGGATGGAAACGTGGTTATTGTCACCATAAAAGGTGAATGGCGAGCGTTTTCCAGGAAGAGTTTTAATACTCGTTCATGCTCACAGTTTTACGACAGGTCTGATTTATAACGGGAAACATGCATATGTATGGCGTGCACCAAGTTTCTAAATCTCAATATTTTTGTACATGCGCAGACTTTTCAGAAATGCCGCTAATAGAAATGTAGTATGATATTTACAATGGTTAAAAATGAGGCCCCTGAAGCCTATCCATTATCAAGTATTTGCAATGTGTGTGCTCTGATTTCAGTAAAAGTATTAGTTGGATATAAATCGAAGTATAGTCACTGGACCATGAGGACCACTCCAAAATATGCTGCAAAAAAGCTTAGCCTAGGTCGAGCGATGGGCAGCTAAAATGGAACTCCCTGCAAAATGTTTAAATCCATTTATTTATTGACAATTTCTACCCGAAAAGTTTAATACCAGCATGAAAATCTTAGCCTAAGCACTGATCTATCCATCCATAAATTCTAGCCTATGCTTAAGGTAGCATATCTCTGATATAGTCAGCCAAGCAGGGATGGATGGAGGCTTCTGCTCTTATGTTAATGTGGCAAACCCATGCTATGGCAGCCATAGACCAGTACCTCCTGTTGTTGGAACACGTCAGTATATTTCCCCAGGCCCAGCTTGCTGAACAGCTCCGGCAGGTCCGACCCTTTCAGAGAGGACTGGAGACTGCAGCCGTTGCTCCCGGTGACCGAGGAGATACAGTCAATGTAGTTACTGCTGCTCAGATAGTGCTCTGCAGCTGTCAATCAAAAGATGTCACAGGAAGACAAGACAAGTCAGACAGTCATCATTAAAGACTTTCATAGAAAGTTATCATTGTAAAAAAAAAATGTACGCAACATAAAATAAACCCTGACGCATCTTGCTGCCGAAACATTGTTGTGACTAATTATTTGTATCTATTAGAGCAAGAGAATGCTGTTAGATTGTTTTTAATGTGTGCAATATAAGCCAACATACTGTAGATAAAATGTGCTTCTCTTCAGCATAACCGGTAGCGATTGGCTTTGATGATGACAAATAATTGAATACAAGAGTAAAAACATGAGGTGGAAATGAACAGAAGTATCTGGTCTCTAGAACTTTAGTGCAGGTGTGTTGGAGGAAGGAACACTCTCACGTTTTCATTAATGATGCAAGCTTTACACAGCATCTGCTGTTCAAGGTTAGATGTTTTTATTTATTCATCATCAAAACTTTTAAGAGAGTTTACTTTAAATGGGAGTGTGATGATCTAGCCTTCTTGCCTTTCATTCTTATTTTTTTATTTCCGAAAAAAAGTTCAGATGGGTATCTGCTGAGTAGCTCACCAGATTTGTTCTGCTTCCTCTTGGGACTGCAAACAGACACTGGGAATTCGGCGTGGCCGGGAAGTCCGTTCCCACCCCCGTTCCTGTCTCTCCAGTTCTCAGAGTCACTGCCGTTGCCCACGCCCTCTCTGCTGCCGGAGCGGGAGAGGGACAGGGGGGAGCCCTGGGGGCACAGAAGGGGGACATCAGATCATATTGGGCTGTACAGTGGCTTGTGAAAGTATTCACCCCCCCCCCCCCCCCCCCCCGGCATTTTTCCTATTTTGTTGCCTTACAACCTGGAATTAAAATAGATTTTTTTGGGGTTTGTATCATTTGATTTACACAACATGCCTACCACTTTGAAGATGCAAAATATGTATTATTGTGAAACAAACAAGAAATAAGACAAAAAAACAGAAAACGTGAGCGTGCATAACTATTCACCCCCCCCCAAGTCAATACTTTGTAGAGCCACCTTTTGCAGCAATTACAGCTGCATGTCTCTTGGGGTATGTCTCTATAAGCTTAGTACATCTAGCCACTGGGATTTTCGCCCATTCTTCAAGGCAAAACCGCTCCAGCTCCTTCAAGTTGGATGGGTTCCGCTGGTGTACAGCAATTTTTAAGTCATACCACAGATTCTCAATTGGATTGAGGTCTGGGCTTTGACTAGGCCATTCCAAGACATTTAAATGTTTCCTTTTAAACCACTGAATTGTTGCTTTAGCAGTATGCTTAGGGTCATTGTCCTGCTGGAAGGTGAACCTCCGTCCCAGTCTCCAGGTTTCCCTCAAGAATTTCCCTGTATTTAGCGCCATCCATCATTCCTTAAATTCGGACCAGTTTCCCAGTCCCTGCCGATGAAAAACATCCCCCAGCATGATGCTGCCGCCACCATGCTTCACTGTGGGGATGGTGTTCTCGGGGTGATGAGAGGTGTTGGGTTTGATGGCCAAAAAGCTCAGTTTTAGTCTCATCTGACCAGAGTACCTTCTTCCATATGTTTGGGGAGTCTCCCACATGCCTTTTGGCGAACACCAAACGTGTTTGCTTATTTTTTTCTTTAAGCAATGGCTTTTTTCTGCCACTCTTCTGTAAAGCCCAGCTCTGTGGAGTGTACGGCTTAAAGTGGTCCTATGGACAGATACTCCAATCTCCGCTGTGGAGCTTTGCAGCTCCTTCAGGGTTATCTTTGGTCTCTTTGTTGCCTCTCTGATTAATGCCCTCCTTGCCTGGTTCGTGAGTTTTGGTGGGCGGCCCTCTCTTGGCAGGTTTGTTGTGGTGCCATATTCTTTCCATTTTCTAATAAAGGATTTAATGGTGCTCCGTGGGGTGATCAAAGTTTCAAATATTTTTTTCTAACCCAACCCTGATCTGTACTTCTCCACAACTTTGTCCCTGACCTGTTTGGAGAGCTCCTTGGTCTTCATGGTGCCGCTTGCTTGGTGGTCCCCCTTGCTTAGTGGTGTTGCAGACTCTGGGGCCTTTCATGACAGGTGTATATATACTGAGATAATGTGACACTTAGATTGCACACAGGTGGACTTTATTTAATTAATTATGTGACTTCTGAAGGTAATTGGTTGCACCAGATCTTATTTAGTGGCTTCATAGCAAATACATATACACAAATCACTTTTCCATTATTCATTTTTTTGAATTTTTTGAAACAAGTTATTTTTTTCATTTCACTTCACCAACTTGGACTATTTTGTGTATGTCCACATGAAATTCTAATAAAAATCCATTTAAATTACAGGTTGTAATGCAACAAAATAGGGAAAATGCCAAGGGGGATGAATACTTTTGCAAGGCACTGTAGTTTTACCTTCTCAGTAATGGTTTAGTTCTGTGACTCACTGAGTATCAATTAAGTTTAGTTTTCATTAACTTACTTTTGTGCTTTACATATTTACCTATTGGTTTTCATTGTTTTATGCAATCCATGATGATGTTTCTTATTACAGTCTTTGCATAAGTTTTCATATCAGGTATGTTACTATAAACACGTTCTCTTCAACAGCGGAAACAACCTGGTCCATTGGTGTTTACCTCATAGTCGGAGTTTACCTCGTAGGTGGTACTCATGGTGGGTTTGTAGGGCACGTGGTTGGCCCTGCGCAGCTCCTTGATGGTCTCTGCTGGCATAGACTTGGAGAAACCCAGACCACTCCACGTGTTAGTGGGGGTCCGCACCTCAGTCACAACAGGCTTCTTCAACATGGCTGGACACACAGACACAGATAAACACCTCTTACCAATTAGTGCGAAAGGTCAGAAAAACGGACACAGTTTCCGTTGAGACTAGACAGGAATTGCCTGAAAGATTGACACTTACCCTTGGTTGCTAACAGCTTTTTCTGTTCATATTCAAGTGCCTGAAATAGAAATTGAGAGGGTCAGCGTCAGTTTTTCTACTTGTCAAATTCACATGAGCCATTTATTGATATGTGAGTGCGTGTATGTGAGAGAGAGAAGTGGAGTTCGAATACCTCTAGTTGTACCTGCATGTTGGCAAAGGAAGAATGTGGTGCCAAGCGGATCCTGTCCCTCTCGTTCTGCTGTGCTGCCCTCTCTGCTGCCCGCTCACTGCCCGGAGCCCTCTTATCTGTCACAGGGCTGTCTGAAGCACTCGACTCTGGGTCTGACAGTAGGCAGTCTGAGCTGTGGGAGGGGGACAACAGAGAGGAACAATTATATTAGAAAGACAGCAAGGTACAAACCCCATCACAATAGAGTAGCCTACAGCACAGAAAAGACATACAGCACAGCTCAACAAGGTATGGCATATTACAACAACGCATGACAGAATGCAGTATAACAGAGCAGTCCCCTGCTTTGTCTCCAAATAGCACCCCCCTCAAGCCCTTTTCCCCACTGACGTTCCTTCTGGAAAACGAAAGTCCTTTTTACATCAGCCCTTTTAACATCAGCAGTTGTCACAAAGTGCTAATATTTTCTATTCTATTAATTTATGGGAGTCATACCCACTGAACTAGAATGAGTTCTAGTCCTATGTTCATACCCTTTAGGCATGGGAATGGAAGCGTGAGGACATCTCTGAACGCCTTCAAATATTTTATATAGGTAGTCTTACTGTAGCTCTGGACAGACATACTGGAGATGGGAGTTCTTGGTCCCCTGGAGGAGCTCCACCGCTTGCCGTTTCCCTGACGTCTTACAGGAAGCCAGCATCTGTTTCAGCTCGTTTCCATTTGCTGAGTGAGATGGGCTTCTGGGCATGCCCACTTCCACAAAGGTGTCAGAGCCTGGTGGAGAGAACGTAAAAGAGCATTTGTGAAGAAACGGTAATGTGGGATATTTATTTCTTCCTTCATGATTTAATAATGTCGATCAGTAGGCTATATATCTAGCTGTATGTACTATTATATCCTTTACATGTGACAAATGAGATACAATGAATTTCTATATTCTTATAGAATCCCTGTATTTGACAACCAAGTTTTTGTACTTCCATAGCAACCTTTTCTTTAGAGGGCATTATTGCTCAGCTTTCCATTGTCTGTCATGCATACATTACAGTACGTTCTTTGCACCTGCAAGTCACTCTGCATGATTGCATGAGCATTACTAAATATAGCTGCTCAACCTCACAGTTGGCACCTGTGTTAATAAAAAACAGAAGCAGTCTAATGAAGGGGCTTTTTTCCTTCTTCTCTCCCTCTTCCAGGCAGTAACCTGGCCTGCAGAACAGGATCTCTGTGTGCGTGTGTGTATGTAGGCCTTGACAGCGTAAAATAATAAGATGTCAGTCATCTTAATTAACATCTCCAAGCTATTATGTTTAGTTGATTCACCCTGGGCTCGATGGTTACGGGAAGCAGAGCCAGTTGGAACAGGTTGGAGAACACAGGAGGTGGTCAGGGAGAGGAAACAGTTACTACTGTGACCAGCCAAGCTGGGGCTGAGGCTGGGGAGTCAACATAGCTCCAGCTCCAACAACATGGGAGCGTGAGAGCAAGGCTACACTCAAACCACACGTTAGAGATGCAGGGAATTCGGAACCTCAACCACTGGAATACCAGCCATTAATGTCACCCTGCTGCAACCTAATAAAAGTGGTTTAAGAATGGGTACTTGACCGCATATTGGTCTACATATAAGATGAAAACAAATATATTGTGGCATAAATTCATTTAGCAGTTTATAAGGCCAAATACCAAGGTTTCCTTGTGGGTTCTATAAACCTCTAAAGTATAGCTACAAGAGCTATACATTTCCATGTTGTCTGTAGGTACGGTGTGTGTATGTGGTACCTTCGTCTTGGTTGGACTTGCTGGAGCGGGGTTCTGACGGGTTGTGTCCGCTGGCCTCCTGGACTGAGTCACACTGGTTGGGGTTCAGAACCGTGTCTGCCAGTGACGCACTGGACATCCTACCATAGACTGAGCCAGGATGCTGCACACAAACACAAATGTAGCCATATACATTATACTCACTATAGGCAAGGTATATATTCAATCTAACAGTTAGTGAGTATATGTCTATGAAAGTCAGTCACCTTGACATGTCCATTGAGGGTACAGGGGCCTTTGGAGCAGTCAGGGACCCCGTTGGTCTGCTTGTCGATTGGGGCAAGCCCAGGGGGAGGGGAGGGGGTGTTCTGGGTGTACCCCTGGACCCCAGAGAGCAGGATACTGCTCAGAGTGGCCTGGGCTACAGGGTGCATCATCAACTGCGACGAGAAGCCTGGATACACGAGGGAGAAAATCCTACACCTTTATCATAACATTTTCATCATATAATAATTTATTACATTTGTAAAGCACTTTTCATTATACAGAATAATCTCAAAGTGCATAAATCCTTTTTTATTTTTTTATGGACACAACTAGACAGGGCAACTGACAAATAAAGCACAGCTGATGCTACAAGGGACACCAAGGACCACAGCTATTAACAGAAAGCCTTCCTAAAGAGAAAGGTCTTTAGGCCCGTTTTAAAGAGCCCAGAGTCTGTGGTGCCTTCAGGTGGTCCGGGAGAGCATTCCGGAGGCTGGGTATCAATCCCTTATAGCTATTTGTGAGCAAGGTGAGAAACCTGAAGGTGTGAGACAGCGAGAGATTGTGCACTAGCTGTCTGTACTCACTTTGGGTGCTGGTGAGAGAGCTGGGCCACAGTGAGGGGGAGGGAGATGGGGTGCTGGGGCTGGGGTTCTGCATAGGGCTCATGGAAGAGTTCAGACTGTTGAGAACAGAGTTTGGAGCCGGGGAGCTACTGAGAGAATGGGGCACTGATGCACCTAGGAGGCCTGGAGGAGAGAAAGACACAGAGTATAAGAATTTGTCTCAATACAGTGTCACTCTAAAACTATTTTCTTCCCACACCAGTAATAGATATTATTGCATACTACCACATCACTCATCAAGTCCTTTCATATCAGTGGTCAGAAAATAAGAAAATAAAGAGAGAGACATTTGAGAGAACTGGGTCTTTGACAAATATAACTCAACACAGTCAATAACTCCATGTTAAACTCTGCTACTTTATGTTTCAACCCAAACATATCAAAGCAGACTGAAACAGGTTTGTGGGTTTGACAAACTGATCATTTCACTCCAGAAATAAGGCTCGGATTTCTCTGGCAGGCTGAGCTGTAATCTGATGGAGAGGGATGTAGTAATTAACTATAGGCTGAGATGTGGAGGCCCATATCTTACCATGGGCCTTTGGGTTCATACTGTACGCCCCAGGAAGGGACTGTCAATGTGGTCAGTTTCCAGACATAAACCTCCTACACACTTAGAACAGTTTATCCCATGATACATAACTCATGAATCATACCGTTGTAAAGGAGTTTGTCTCATGTTTTTTTCAATTGTATTTCTTATTGTTTCTTTTCACAAGATAACAATACAGTTGGACTACATACAGTATGACACAAGCCTCTTTTTCCAATCACTGGTCTATAAACGTATGGGAAAGGTCCTTGGGATTACATTTGTAGAAAGCCACAATCGAACTCCATTACCCAGACTGCTCAGCCCCAGGCCAGCTGAGGCCAGGATGTCCAGGCCGACAGGACAGATTAGGGTGGGGGAGGGGCCGTTGGTGATGGGGGAGATGGCTGATGACACCCCGTTGCTCTCCAGACCCAGCAGAAACTTCCGGGCCTCGTACATGTTCACTGCATTCCGCTCCACACTCTTTACTATCACAGACTGAGGAAGGGAGAGTGGCAGAAAGAGAGATGGAGAGACAGACAAGAGGAAGAGAGAAAACAACATGGCAGGTTTTTGTCAGTATGAACTGTACAGGAGAGACATTAGCAAGGAGAATAGGAGACAATACTGGTTCCTCAACTTTCGTAGCATAATTTGTCTTTCTTTAATGTAATGAACAGTGAAATCGAAAGGGATTAGTAAATTGTCAAAACAATCTTGATAAAATGGTTTTATTTCAATTTACGTGTGAGAAAGCATATGGGAGTTTGGGGAGGATATTCAACTTCTCCAGTTTCAATATTACCATAAAGAGTTCTTGGAACATAGCGAGGAATAAAAAATGAACATGCACACAAATGATGTCTTTGGACCTACATTTGCCAAAGAGGGCCCTGTCAAATTGAGTCCAGTCACAATCTTTCTTTCTCCACACCCTTCTTCTGTTATTTATTTTTATTTTTTATGATCAGCTTCAATATTGCAGATAGATTGTAACTTCCATCAATGTAATTGTCTGCATCACTTCCAATCCCCCATATGTTGTTTTTTTCTCGCATATATATATATATATATATATATATATATATATATATATATATATATATATATATATATATATATATATATATATATATACACACATACATACATACATACATACAGTGGGGAGAACAAGTATTTGATACACTGCCGATTTTGCAGGTTTTCCTACTTACAAAGCATGTAGAGGTCTGTAATTTTTATCATAAGTACACTTCAACTGTGAGAGACGGAATCTAAAACAAAAATCCATAAAATCACATTGTATGATTTTTAAGTAATTAATTTGCATTGTATTGCATGACATAAGTATTTGATCACCTACCAACCAGTAAGAATTCCGGCTCTCACAGACCTGTTAGATTTTCTTTAAGAAGCCCTCCTGTTCTCCACTCATTACCTGTATTAACTGCACCTGTTTGAACTCGTTACCTGTATAAAAGACACCTGTCCACACACTCAATCAAACAGACTCCAACCTCTCCACAATGGCCAAGACCAGAGAGCTGTGTAAGGACATCAGGGATAAAATTGTAGACCTGCACAAGGCTGGGATGGGCTACAGGACAATAGGCAAGCAGCTTGGTGAGAAGGCAACAACTGTTGGCGCAATTATTAGAAAATGGAAGAAGTTCAAGATGACGGTCAATCACCCTCGGTCTGGGGCTCCATGCAAGATCTCACCTCGTGGGGCATCAATGATCATGAGGAAGGTGAGGGATCAGCCCAGAACTACACGGCAGGACCTGGTCAATGACCTGAAGAGAGCTGGGACCACAGTCTCAAAGAAAACCATTAGTAACACACTACGCCGTCATGGATTAAAATCCTGCAGCGCACGCAAGGTCCCCCTGCTCAAGCCAGCGCATGTCCAGGCCCGTCTGAAGTTTGCCAATGACCATTTGGATGATCCAGAGGAGGAATGGGAGAAGGTCATGTGGTCTGATGAGACAAAGATAGAGCTTTTTGGTCTAAACTCCACTCGCCGTGTTTGGAGGAAGAAGAAGGATGAGTACAACCCCAAGAACACCATCCCAACCGTGAAGCATGGTGGTGGAAACATCATTCTTTGGGGATGCTTTTCTGCAAAGAGGACAGGACGACTGGGGGCGGCAGGTAGCTTAGTGGTTAAGAGCATTGTGCCAGTAACCGAAAGGTCGCTGGTTCTAATCCCCGAGCCAAGTAGGTGAAAAATCTGTTGATGTGCCCTTGAGCAAGGCACTTAACCCTAATTGCTCCTGTAAGTCGCTCTGGATAAGAGCGTCTACTAAATGACGTAAATGTAAAATGTAAATGTAAACGACTGCACCGTATTGAGGGGAGGATGGATGGGGCCATGTATCGCGAGATCTTGGCCAACAACCTCCTTCCCTCAATAAGAGCATTGAAGATGGGTCGTGGCTGGGTCTTCCAGCATGACGACCCGAAACACACAGCCAGGGCAACTAAGGAGTGGCTCCGTAAGAAGCATCTCAAGGTCCTGGAGTGACCTAGCCAGTCTCCAGACCTGAACCCAATAGAAAATATTTGGAGGGAGCTGAAAGTCCGTATTGCCCGGCGACAGCCCCGAAACCTGAAGGATCTGGAGAAGGTTTGTATGGAGGAGTGGGCCAAAATCCCTGCTGCAGTGTGTGCAAACCTGGTCAAGACCTACAGGAAACGTATGATCTCTATAATTGCAAACAAAGGTTTCTGTACCAAATATTAAGTTCTGCTTTTCTGATGTATCAAATACTTATGTCATGCAATAAAATGCAAATTAATTACTTAAAAATCATACAATGTGATTTTCTGGATTTACATGCTTTTTAAGTAGGAAAACCTGCAAAATCGGCAGTGTATCAAATACTTGTTCTCCCCACAGTGTGTGTGTGTGTGTATATATATATATATATATATATATATATTTTTTTATTACTTTCCAACCCCACCATCCCTTCCCTAATTGGAGTAAACCAGTGAACAACAATGCTTAGGCCTCTACTTCATGCTTATACATACTATATACATTTTATGGACACAGTCAATAATTATATTTTGTTTGTTTTTACTCCTGAACTTCATCCGATCATTTTCATGATGTCCATCAAGTATGCTTCTATATGCCATATCTTTCTAACTGTGCTCTTTCACAAAAGCTCACAATATATAACCTTTATACTAATATGGACACAGCATGTCTTACACTAGTTATCTTGTTGTTATTAGTTGTTGTTATTAGTCCCATCCTTCAGCTCCATTCAACACCTCCCATCTATCTCTTAACACCATCCATATTGGATTTTGTATTTGCCATATTATTTTTCAACTGTACTGTGATGTTTTACAAAAGTTCTGAACCTTTCTATTCTCATAGTTTCTACAGTTTGTGAATTGAAAATAAACATCTTTGCTAAAAGTATTATTATATTATTGATCGATTGACTATGACTTTTCATATAACCCAGTAGTGCTATCTGCAGGGTCAGCTCCATGCAAATATTGCAATCCTTCAGCCATTCCTGGACCTGTGTCCAGAAACAAGCTACAAATGGACAGTACCAAAACAAATGATCTAATGATTCTGTCTCTTCACAGCCAAATCTGCAGAGCTGGGAAGATTGTATCCCCCATACAAATAACATTCTATTGGTAGCAAGAATTTTATATAATAATTTAAATTGAACAATTCTAAGTTCTGAATCCGGCATCGTTTTGCGTATCAATTCATAAACACTATGCCATGGAATCGGTACGTCAAAAATCTCTTCCCATATAGATTTGCAATCTATATGGGACGGCTGTCAATCTTTTGGTCCTTATTCATCACAATTTTCTTTAACCAATTATGTTCTTTAATGCAAGGCTGACAGACAAGTTCCTTACTTTTTCCTCCTTCCACTTTCCTCTTCCATTTTTGGGGTAATGCTGATTTCCTTTTCAAATACCTGAAAGTGAGGGGTTGTAATCTGAATAAAGGGAAAAAGTCCCTTCTTGAACATTGGGTGAGACAATTTTACTAGTTTGCTAGAGAACCAGTTTGGATTTAAGTATAATTTTTGTATGACTGAAGCTTTTAGTGAATGCTTTAATATTTAATAATTTCTGTCCTCCTAATTCATATTCATTATATAAATAGGCCCGTTTAATTTTGTCGGGCTTGCCGTTCCAAATAAAATTGAATATTTTTTTCTCATATAATTTTAAAAACTGTTCGCTAGACGTAGGCAAGACCATAAGCAAATAGGTAAACTGGGATAATACTAAAGAGTTAATCAGGGTGATTTTTCCACAAATTGACAGGTATTTACCTTTCCATGGTAGCAAGATCTTATCTATTTTTGCTAACTTTCTATTAAAATGTTTTGGAGTGATATCATTTATTTCATTTGGGATATGTATTCCGAGTATATCCACATCACCATCAGACCATTTTATTGGTAAACTACATGGTAATGTAAAAAATTGTATCTCCCTTCTTAATGGAGTAGCCGAGTAGCCAGAAGCAGGGGGGTGTTTGGAAGGCCGTTTGGATTAGTGCTGTCACCTTGTTAAAGTAGAGGTCTGGGTAGGGCTGAGTTTACACTGGCATCACACCAATGTTCCCAACTGGCCTGTCTGGGTTTAGGCATCATGCTGGGGCACAAGGAGGGAAGGGCACCTGGCTAAGGTGGTTAGGTTGGGGCCAAGTAGGTTTGATGTGCCTAATATATTGTTCGGCTTATGATGTGCAGTGCTTTACAGTTAGGGCCAGGAGATTTTCCTGACCGCTTGACCTGACCAGGTAACACCTTGGGCCCTAGCTGTAGCGTTAGCCTGGTAAAGTAGCTCTGGATTTGTGTGAAGGCCACTATGTAACATACTATACTGAACAAAAATATAAATGCAACATGTAAAGTGTTGATCCCATGTTTCATGAGCTGAAATAAAAGATCCCAGAAATGTTCAATACACACAAAAAGTTTATTTCTGTCAAATTCTGGGCACAAATGTGTTGACGTCCCTGTTAGTAAGCATTTCTCCTTTGCAAAGACAACCCACCCACCTGACAGGTGTGGCATATCAAGAAGCTGATTAAACAGCATGATCATTATACAGGTGCACCTTGTGCTGGGGACAATAAAAGGCCACTCTAAAATGTGCAGTTTTGTCACATAACACAATCCCACAGATGTCTCAAGTTTTGAGAAACCGTGAAATTGGCATGATGACTGCAGGAATGTCCACCAGAGCTGTTGCCAGAGAATTGAATTGACCATAAGCCACCTCCAACGTTGTTTTAGAGAATTTGAGAGTACGTTTAACTGGCCTCACAACGGCAGACCACGTGTAACCACGCCAGCCCAGGACCTCCAAATATGGCTTCTTCACCTGCGGGATCGCCTGAGACCAGACACCCAGACAGCTGATGAAACTGAGGAGTATTTCTGTCTGTAATAAAGCCCTGTTGTGGGGAAAAACTCATTCTGATTGGCTGAGCCTGGCTCCCCAGTGGGTTGGCCTGGCGCCCAAGTGAGTGGGCCTATGCCCTCCCAGGCCCACCC